TACTTCCAATTCTCATACAAAAAATCTCCTCACAGCGTATTAAAATGAAAACAGACACAAACTTACAATCCAAAACAAAATCATGCCTTAAAGTCACTCCCAGAAATATACGAAAGATAAAACTCCACTCAAAATAGCAAAAATACAATGAACGACCCAATAAAATAGCGAGGCTATCTAACAAACAAATGTAACGATTATTTTTGGTCGGCTTTATCTTTGCATCCGTTCCGGTCTTAATTACCCCCCATTACGTATGACTCGGATAAAATGACCCCCGTTATTTATTTTATTCGAACGTTTCACACCGAATATTGCCGTTCGATTTTAATTTTCGCAACGTTTATTCGATTTGGTTAAATAAAATTTAATTAGAGATAGTAATGCTGAATCGTTAACGTAATTATTAACTAAATATATTGGTAGCATTTGTGTTAAGTTATAACTGTCTATTTTGTACTTGAAATATATTGTTCCTATATTGATAACTACTACTTGAAACTTGATATAACTTGAAATTTTCAAGTTATCTATAGGTAAAATCATGCTATTGGAGAACTGATATCTCATATAAGGCCCTCATATTGTGATGTATTCAATAAAATCTTTAGAAATACATACGTGGTACGGCGGTAGGTTAAACAGCATACCAACCCTGTAATATCTCAGGTACAGATAATAAATACAAAGAGAAAAATCTCAGGTTAATTGAGCAACAGAATCATCCAGATTACGCATATTTTTTTGGATATGTTTGCCTTGCACAAAACATTTCTTTCAGCATGTCAGCACCCTACTTCCTTCAGCACCCTACTTTGTCAACTTGTGGTCTGCTAAATCCAAAATGTTAAAGGTAGGGGTAAATGGAATAAAGGCATAAAATCTTTTTTTAACTACTGCAACAGCAATACAAAAACACTCAAAAAACTTCCACAATAATTCAGAATCCACCGAACCAAGACCAAACAATGCCTTTCTTACTCCCGTTTATTAATATTCAAATGAAACAACAAAAGCATAAAATCTGCGAACACAAACGCGGACGGCAAACTTTAAAATATATAAAAACAAAAGAAAACAGAAGCGAAGTTGCGGGCAGACGTATAGTCAAAGTTCTGAAGAAGTTGCAAGAAATGATAAATACTTCTTTGCCATAATAACATGCATGAGAAGCAGTAGAAGTGTTATTGTTGACTAGGGGACACTTAAAGGAAAAATATGAGTAGTAGTGCAATTAAAAATGAACATTAACTTCATGTACTTGTAGTTTAATCTACTGGTACTACGTTTAAGAAGTCACCAGTGAATTGTCTGGTTGATGAGGTTGCAACGGAGTATCTTATAGTTTGTGATATTGTTGAATCTACTATTCATCACAGTGTTACAGATAAACTCTAGTAAGCCACATGTCGAACTACTGTTCCATTAGTGGACATTGCACAATAAATTCAAATCAATATTCCAGTAATCATACAATAGGAATATGACAGGGTATGAAAATGAAAAATCTAATTAGTCCGTAAGTTAGGTAATGAAAAACATTAGACACGTTTTTTTTATTTTGTCGTATAATAAAATGATACTTAGATACCTATTAATAAAACGAATCAAAGAGTGTGGGTTAAACTGTCAAACACCAAGCGGTCACCGGTGACCGCAACCTATTGTTCTTTAATTGTGTCTATAATGACGGTGCTCGACGAGTTAAAACGTCATTTCTACGTATAAAATGCACATAGAAGTGACGTCATATTTCAAATCAATATATCGCCGAAAGTATTCGTTTCTGTAAAAAAAAATACGTGTATAATGCTGTGTAACGCGAAATGCTTTTCATGAATATGAGCCTCTAGCATGGCTTGAAACTAGTCGAGTTTCTCGTCGAATTACTACGTGAGTAAGCCGAAAACATAATAATTTACGTGTGTAATGTTTTAAAACAATCTACCAGACGGGCATTAAAATAAATATTAGTCATCTACCCTATTAATAATTATACAGTTAAATGCTACACGATGTATGTAAATTATAAATGAATCATATCAGTGAATGCAGCTCATAACGAAGACAGAACTCAATTTGTTGATATAACAAATTCAATTTTCTCACCAACGACCCGATTTCCAAGTAAACTGAAAGTGCAACAATCGCGTTACATTACTAAAACATCCACTAACACTACCACATCACGTTTCACGGACGGGGGGTAATAGTATAGTACATAAATCACAAAAACTACCACCCACATCGAATGTATGAAAGTTTTCTCGCTAAACAAAACAAGAAAACTAATAATTGTTGCTATTTCCCACCAGTTTCGGCGGTTGTAAATAACGTTCAAGTGTTTGAAAGATTTAGTGCCGTTTGTGCCTTTGTTTCTTTTTGGATAGGCTTGTTTCTGATATACTGTAATATATGGTGTAGACACACCGACTTTATTGACAAACATAAAAATGCCTACGAAAATTCTGTATTTTTTGTACCATGATAGTATTTTCACACATGAATCTGATATGTAAAACCTGATCATAATAATAATATTATAGAACTACGCAACAAAAGACGAGTATTCAGTGCTTATTAGCATTGGAAAATCTACACATATCGCAGTAAACGATAGCTAAGCCATTTTATCAAAAACAGTCGTCGAGGTAATAAAATTATAACTAAAATTCATGCAACGTTGTTAACAACGGCATCAAGATAACGTTAAATGTAAACAGTAAAACAAACATACATAAAATAACAAAAAGGGTAGATTTTAATAAACGTGATTTCATATTTCCGCATACATAAGTGATTGTGCAAACAGACGAATGAAACAAAACAGAATTCCAAACAGAAACAGGAACTCCACAGACAGAGACAAACTCTTTTAAAGACGACAAAGGAATGTTAGGAGAACCTCTCAAAGAAATGGCTTCAACTATTCCCGACGTTACAAGCATTCTGAGACAAGGAACATTTCAAATTTTCTCAAATAAAGTAAACATAAAATGGTGTTTAGTTATGCAGATCCTGACTCAATTACAACCCCCCTATTAATTCCGAGGTCTTCAAATTTTACAACCGTCCTTAGCAATTCCGTTTTATTAAAATATACAAGCTTTATATGGTTCACAGCGGAACGTAAAATAAAATTTTAATTCTATCCATTTTACATTCGGGAACCGGGATTTTTTACGATTTTTCATTAAATGGACTATTTTTATCGAGTCGCCAATCAGCGCTCGAGTGTTTCGACTGAAATAAATGAAACAGGAGAGTTTATTACTCGTAATTTTCGCAGTGAGCCCTTGTCCCATCTGATAGTTGAAAAATTTAATTAAACCTGTTTTTAGATAACGTAAGGAATCTCGGATTCGGGGGAAAAATATTATGGTCGGCTTTAAAAAGCGTTCCGTATTAACTTCTCCCAGCGTCCGCTTATCTGTTTTTGCCGGATTTACTTCTTCTATGGACACCGGCGAAACTGTTTTTAATCTTGGATCCTTTTATTTCAAATCTTTGGGTCAAAGTAATTACTTGTTTGCAGTTTTATATCTACGAGATTTACGACCGTTCTAATGATGTACCCTTTGGTAGAGGGATCTTTTGATACGGGATATTTTGTAGGACCTTTAATGTTGTGCTCTTCATAAAGAGAATAACGATCTAAAGTTTACTTCGACAGTAAAGACGAATTTAGTGTACAGACAACGAGATGTAGAATCCAAATGATCTCGTAAACAATTAGAGCTCGCTACACAACGAATTGTTTTGTCATTAATTAGAATTCACTAAAGCAAGTAATTTCAGCATCGTGGGATAATAATATTCTTCATGAATGTTATAACAATGAATTTTGATAACAAAAGCAATTTCGAAGTTTGGAGAGAATTTTCACAGTAATATTAGATGAGTGGAAACAATATCTTTTATGGACACTGTTCTTGTTTCAACCGCAAAACAATTGTTATGCAGTGATTACATTTTACATTACTTCGTTCTCTAAAATAATTCATACATTAATGTTACACTTATTTTCTTACATTAATTTTGTTTTACAACTCTGTAAAGAGATCCGCGAAACATTTTGCCAACCAGAGCCCCAATAACCCAGAACTCACCCACAATCCTAACTCAAAAAGACATCAAAATGAAAAACAGTCACCAATTAGGGGTCTAAACCGTCTAAAACTTGAAGCATCCAACACTCTCTTGATTGAAGTTAGTGAGACAAGGAGCCAAGTGTAAATCCCTCAAAAGCCAAGTTAGCTGCATTAATCACTGAGAGTAGACGATAACCGCAAGGCGTGCAGAAATTGCCGCACTTAAAATAATTTAAGTCTTACCCGCAAAAGTTGGCCCATAAAGAACCGAGGACAAAGTCCCGGAAACATTTTTCATTACACCGGTTCAAATTTCTCGCCAATTTCTACTGTAAACAATTATAAGATGTGTCCGGTTGTGCTAATTGCTTTCTCCTTGCTTTTGTTTTTATTTTATTTATTGTCATTGTTTTAACTTGGTGCCTGTTATTTTGGGTTTTATTCAACAATGATATTTATACTTATATTGTTATTCTTGCCTTCTTTATCATGTATATTACAGACTAAAAGACTGTTAATATTAAAAATCAAAGGTTTTCCATTTCCACTAAGTAAGTAAACATAACACAATATGCACAACGAAGAAAAAATTAAAAAAAGAAAAGACAATCTTCAACATTTTCATAATGATACGCGGAAACAAAACAGAACTAAACAAACGCCCCGAAGGAATAACAAACACGTACAATTCTTAGTAATTAGATACAATAAGTGCAGACAGAGGAAAAAAGAAAATCACAATACAACGAACAATGCAACATTTATTAGAAAACATTAAAAACAAGGAAAGAATTGAAAAGCGAACGAAGAAACACAGACAAAAGGAAATGAGAGTTTAAAATGAAAAGGTTCATCAAAAGAAAACGTTGGGGGCAGAGAGTACTAAGTATTGTAATATGGATAACTTACCAACAACACATACACTGCACCCATCTGAAAATAAAACGAAAATATATTAGTTATTGTATGTGTGGCCAAAAATAACAATGCATAGAATTAAACCTTAATTGTTATGAAGTAAGACAGATACATTACGGTAGGTTTAGATGCTTTCTTGGGCAGCAATGGTATTCATAAAATGAAAGTCAATTGTAGCGGTATAGAGGTATTAAAATTCTACGTACCAAATACGGATTCTCAATTTGAAGTTTTCAATGATATAAAAACACCAAAAAATCACATTAAACAATACAATATTTATGGATATCAAAACCATTTTCAATAACAACTTGATTCTAAGGGACGAAAATTATACAAATGTATATAATTCACCTCAGAACGGAGGACTCAATCTGTTACAATTATTTACATGTAAATTAGACAAGTTTATCATATTGTCGATGTCGGCCGATGTATAACGAGACCTCTTGTGATCGACAAAGTTAGGAAACGATGTTTTAATTGCTTTATAAAGGATGGAAATGTAAATGAACATTCAGATATTGAAACAGGAAATATATGTATATTGTAATTTGGATTGATTACGCGAATGCTGTCCGCGTGTATACTAAGAAAGTTTACCCTACAATCACTCTTGATTATAAAAAATAGTTAACATTGTTAAAGTCTTGAAGTATGAGGGTAATGGTAATGACTTCAGTCTAAATACCTTAGTAGAGAAGTCTACAAAAAACCACGACTTCAGTTGCACACAACTCAAAGAGCAAAGAGATATTCACGACAACGTACCACCAAAATTCAAGGCACACGTGCAGAAAGCAGAAAATAAACAAAACATAACCCAAGACCGTAGCTTAGAGAGTCTAAGCAAGCAATTAACACAACATTCGTCATTAAGCTGAATGTCGAAACAACACATTTCATTAAGAGCTGCAACCATACAAGTCTCGAAGGAATGTAATTTCTCAAATCTGGGACGGATCCTTCATCCTGTGCCACGAAATTTCGGCCTAACCCAGGCTTTGGCGAGCGTTCGCGAAGTGTCATTAGTTAAAATTACTGAACTCCAGCTATCGCTCCCAGGGAAGCAGTTGACAAAGTTTGCGAAAGGGCCCAGGATTACCCTTTGGGTTGTGGTCTGTTTCATAGGAGGGAGCGGGAATAAATCCTGTTAATCATTGACCAGTTAAAAACTCAAAATGTGTTAAGGTTATTTCACTCTTATTACTGTTTCGTCTGTTTTATTGAGATAGACCACTAACGCGCACAACTAGTCTACGGAAAAACACGTAAGTACTTTGTCAGTAAAAAACCGCGTGCGTCGTCCTGCACGTCTGTACTTTCTTATTTTTATATTTAACATGTTATTTTACATAAACTGTCGTAAAATTTATTTAGTACCCCTTTCTTATGAGCCTCGGAGAACTTAACCAGGGCTCCGGCTCGAAGTGCAGGAATAGGAACGATGTGGTTTATAGTCAGTAAGAGTCTGACACTCCCTCCCGCCTCACCCAGGCGGGAGAAGTCATTCAACGATTTTCCGCCTTAAAAAACCCTTTCTTATGTATTAATTTATCTGCTATGACTCACAACTTGGGCCACGCAATTATTCAGAGCAAGAAGCCGGTGTTTCCCTTCATATACAAGTATAATACAATATTTTAATTATTCTAGACTAACACTGGTGAAGTTGTGCTGTTACTGTAATTATTAAGTTCTCGTACGCCCTAGGGAATTTATATTATTATTCGGATATTTACATTTATTTCTGGTTTGGTAATGTTAGGAACTTAGGACATGGTAATGTTGGGTTCTGATGTGGCATTACAAGGGTCAGAATGTTTCACACCAATGTTCAACGGATTGTTTGACATTGAATTCCTAAATCGTGATATTTTGTCCTAACAGAGTCCTAACATGATATTTGATGGAAGTTCAATACAATTTGACGGTTAAATGTAAATAAATCGTGTCTTTCGATATTCATAATTGCCAATCAAACTGCATGGTATTTGTGTCTAAAATGGTCAGTTAATGTACATAACGTACATACATAGCGTCACACCTTTTTATGCCCGAAGGGGTAGGCAGAGGTGCACATTACGGCACTTAATGCCACTGAACAATGTAACACCCACTTTTCACTATCATGTTATGAGTCCCATGTATTAGGGAGTGAGCCTATTGCGATATACCGGGCACAATTCCAGACTCCGTGCTACTACTGAGAATTAAAAAAAAACCAGTAATACTTTGCCCGACCCGGGAATCGAACCCGAGATCCATTGCCCGGCAGTCGCACTTGCGACCACTCGGTCAACGAGGCAGTATTCTTCTGTACTTCTGCAAAATTATACGCAAATAATATATTTCCTTCTAAAAGTCCGTTACCTATTGAATGAATCTCAACATTGAATGGACTCACAATCAATGCTACATAACACAACTCATAAAATAATGTAAATCGTTCATCAAAACCATATCGCGAAACTTGTTTAGGGTCAAAATATCGGGGGCTGTAAAAACTAAAGGGTTCACGTAAGCTTGGGACGCATTTACGAGTTTGGGGCACAATTTAAATTGTATATTAGGTTCCGTATACGCTTATTTCTTTGGAACGATGGCCGAAGGGGTCCGCGGAAAATAAAAACTTTATACTGGGATCAGATTGCATACGAAAGACGATTCTTATGGTGCGAGAAACGGAACTGTAGAAGAAAATATGGTTTTTTTTACATCCACCAATGGTGGTTAAATTTTCGTAGTTTGACCTCTCGCGGTTTTGTTATTGGAAGACAATGTTCGCGTAGTTTTCGGATTGAAGTTTCCAGAATGCCAGTTGCGTGTTTGCCTGGGGTCCTGGGGTTCGAAGAATTTGTTCCGAAAAGTTTCCGGCGAGTTTTTATGCTAATCGCAATCGTGAGCTATGAATAAAAAGTTTCGAATATTTACAACAAATTATAATTTCATGAAATTGTAAATATATTTTTAACTAATCACAAATTGTAGCAGTTTCATTGAATAAATTTTATGTATAAGTGTAGGAGAGCCATGTTTCGGCACGAATGGGCCGGCTCAACCGGAGTGACACCACGGCCTCACAGAAAACCGACGTGAAGCAACGCTTGCGTTGTGTATCGTCGTGTGAGTGAGGTTACCGGAGGCCCAATTGCCCCCCCTTCCCCAATCTCCCCAATCTCTGAATCCCCAACGATCCTCAAACTCCTAATCCCCAAAAAGCCGGTAACGCACTTGTAACGCCTCTGGTGTTCCATGTGTCCATGGGCGACGCCGATTGCTTACCATAAGGTGATCCATCTGCTCGTTTACCGGCTTATGCTATAAAAAAATCAATAAATTTATCAATCAAATGTGCATATATTATAATAGTATGGTTACGTTTAAATTTTTTAAGCCAACATAAGTAATTTTTGAAAACTTTTTCATCAACACCAAATAAATTACAAAGAGTAATTTAAGAGGCGGATATGACGTCATAGTGCCTCCGCCGGAAGCACTCCGGGAGGGCCAAAACGCCGAAGGTCCTTAGCACAGCGGGGTTACTAATGCCCTCCAAGACCATTATAAACCTTTTGGTGGGAGTTAATAGCCCTCAGAAAGAGGACCAACGGGTGAGAGCCAAAAACTTTCCAAAGAATATAAAATATGTATGGAATTCATACATAAATATGTCGCATGAGTGGAAGGACAGCTTCGTCGTCGACTGGTCCTTTGATGGGGGATCAAAAAATGGCGTGATTGGGACACCTTTATATCGTCCTAAAAGACTTAAAAATTTCATTAAGATTTTTCGAAATTAAATTTTGCTATTTTTTACTACTCACGACAATGGATAACTCTTAGCATTAGGTAGTGTAAAAACATGTAATTCTAAGAAAATATACAAAACATCACGTTCATGAATAGCTTCATCACATCTCGTCATACATTGAAGATAGCTAATTTAGTACACTGTCATTTTCTTGCATATTATAGTGTCTAGCGTCTTCGGACGTAGATTAGATGGCGCTGCAGTGCTCAATGGCAGCTTTGATTGCAATGTAGGAGGTAAATTGTGTTCTTGATTTAGGAATTACATAATATTGTTGTATCAAAATGTGTTTTAAAAAAAGCCTTTTTAAAAACTGCACACAGTTTATGCACATAATAGGGTAGATGCCTAATTTTTATTTTAATGTCCGTCTGGCAGATTATTTTAAATCATTAGACACGTATTTTTTATTTTCGTTCACAAACGAATACTTTCGACAATCTATTGATTTGAAATGCCTCGTGACGTCACTTCTATGTACATTTCATACGTAGAAATGACGTTTTAACCCCCACTCATAGACTTTGTTGCGTTTTATCATAGTGTTGTTTTATTATACGACAAAATAAAAATATACGTGTCTAATATTTTTTCATTACCTAACTTACGGACTAATTAGATTTTTAATTTTCATACCCTGTCATCATCCCAATTATCATCGTCCATCAGCCACAAGATGGCAACTACTGAGCTAAGGTATAAGCAGTACACATTCCCAAAGACTTCATCTCTAAAATTAAGATTATATCTGCCACTCTCGAATTTTGTACTGTTACCCTATTATTCACCATTTTGAATTTTTTTTTTTAGTGAAAGTAGTGGTTTTATAGTAATGCTCAAACCTTCTCCGTATGACAAGAGGGTTTGCTCAGCAGTGAGCATTTATAAGCTGTTGATGACCACCTTTGCTTGGTATTTTTACCTTAGCAATAGTAAAATTTTGATTTAACATGTACTGTCAAAACAGACGAAACACACAAACAGCGAATATCGACACCGTTCCGCGCCGCGTTCAATTTCAACGTGAAGCAAATATTTGTATGACATACAGACTGCAGTTCTGTTTGTATTTATTTGTGTAAGCGACAACACCGTGTCTGTTTTAAAAGATAGATGTACGAGTAACTACACGACATACTTGAAACTTATAATATGAATACTGATGGTTTCTTTGAAAGAGAAAGAAAGAAGAAAGAAAAAACATTTATTTAGCACCAGGCACGATGCAGCATACATAAATAAAATAAAAAAAAAGACAATCAAGGTGTGACAGTGGAAGTAATAAAAATATAAGAGTTGAAAAATTGAAACAAAAGAATTAGAAAAGAGACGCTGACAACATGCCTATGCTAAAAGGGTGACCCACTCAGTGTAAGCCAGGCATACAGGTTACCCAGCACTGATTTTCAGTGGGCACCCATGCAGTGACGCACGGATGGTAGCAACGTTGAATGGTTAGACAAAGACAACAAGAAAATATATATATATATTATATACATATATAATAATGCATCTGCACACCCACCACACACACATATACATACACACACACATATACATATACATACATATACTTTGTGATGTAGCATATATTTATTGTCACCATCGGCGCTCTTCCAGCACGCGTCGTAATAATCGATTAACAGATTTGCCAGCTGCAGCGCTTTCTGATTAACCTCAATCTTTAGAACTACTATCCTCAACTCCCTTGAGCAACGTAAAGCTTATAGCAAAACCGCTTATGTAAAAGATGCCCATACTCATAGTCTAAGAGTGAACTGTTACAAGATCTACAACGTCATTACAATAAAAAAAATTAAACAATCCATCTTATACATGCTTCCCTCCGGGCGTCGGGGATCGCGAGACCCGAGCGTATGGCGCGTCGTGCTCCGCGTGCACCTCAAAGACCCATCAGACCACCACAGATAGGGTCCAATAGCGCTGATGCCGATACGAAGCCGCAGAGAACGTATAAGTTAAAGTGCAAAGGAATGCAGTGGTTTTTATTCAGTAGTCTGACACTCCCAGCCTTACCTAGCCGAGAGAACAAATCAATGACTTTCCACCCTTAAAAAAAAATGTTATCCATGCTTCAGTTTTTCTATCAACTACCAGTTAATTATGAAATTCATTTTATTAGCAAATATATAGTAGCAATATCGCAAATCGTACCCGTTTAGTAAACAAATTATATTTTTCTACAGAATTCGGTGTGAACGAAAAAAACTGACATCGCTACCTATAATTTTCTTTCATGGCTAAATATACAGCATGTGTGGAAAAATACTCCGATACATAATACCTACGTGTGTTTAGATACACAAATAAACGCGACGTCTATTTACGTACTTCCCTAAGCTAAAATTACATGATAGGTGAGGCGACAATCACTTTGTTGTTAAATGGTGTGAATGGTAATCGCTATATAGTAATATACTGGACATTGTGTCTGTTTGTGGGAAGTAATGAAGCAGTTTTATTTTATATCGCAAATAAATGTGTTTCTTAATCGAATGTACTATATTGATGCCTTTTTTTTTTAAGGGGGGAAAATCATCGAATGACTGCTCCCGCCTGGGTGAGGCGAGAGGGAGTGTCAGACTCTTACTGACTAAAAACCACCCCGTTCCTTCTCCTGCACGTCGAGCCGGAGCCCCGGTTACCAGTTAGGTTCTCCGCGACTCCGAATCGGCATCGGCCCTATTGTGCCCCATCTGTGGTGATCTGATGGCTCTTTGAGGCGCGCGCGGAACGCGACGCGCCGTACGCTCGGGATATTGATGCCTTAAATCATTGTCGTTGTTCAGGTGATGGCAGTAAAGGTTTGTAAGTTCGGTTTTATTTTTTGTTAATTAGATGGGCCGACGTTTGACCACTATCTCGCCTGGTGGTAAGCGATGATGCTGTCTGCGATGGAGCACGTCGTCCCATAAGCAACCTATTCACTCGGGCCTTGAAGACACCCAGTTTACCCACCCTTCAGGTAATGTAATATAGAGTCTGGCAAAGAATTCCACTCCTTAGCAGCACGCACAAGGACGCTTGTGAAGGAAGGTTTCTTAATCGAACAGTTTTTAGACTTTCAGTTTTTAGATTCTTATCAAATAACGGAAAATTTCATTTTTCGACGATCTCTTTATTCCATCACCTCTCCTGAGACGGGGCCCTAACAATCCTCATTCTTCCGCAGTATTACAACTTATATTGTTTTATTTATTTATTTATTACTTCTTTTGTTGTTCTTCTACTTCGCCCCTAAGAGGTAGGTACATCTAAGTGTTTTCATGGTTGTATCTACTGTAGATCCTAGCTTACAGGAGTTGTAGCGGTTTTTGGAGGTTGTGGCGGGCTTGCCCCATTGAAAAAAAAAACTTACATTGTTCAGCAATTGTATTTTTTTTTTGTCCAATTGAAATCAAATAATACCGTTGACATGTTTGTATTGATACACATTTTTGTACAAACAAATCCAAGTCCGAAAACTAGTTATATTATAATGTTCCTCAGTAAACATCGCTAGTCAAATACAAAACAACAATCATTATGCCATCATAATTTACTTAAATAATATATGTGAGCATTTGTATATAAGCGTAGATACCAGGTCACATCTCAATTTGAAACAAACCCTTCAAAGAATATACTAGTACACGGATTTATAGTACAATTCAAAATGTTCACGAAATTTTTCGTTGTCGTTCTTACCGCGATGCTGATTGGAAATGTAAGTTATTTTTTATCATATTTTGCGTTCATTATCATCATTAGTAACCTGTATTATCTGAATTCTGTACACAAGACATCTTAACACACCAAAAATACATGCATAATTTTCAAAGTCAAAGTCAAAGCATTTGCACAACATAACATCATGCCTTTTATCCCTGAAGGGGTAGGCAGAGGTGCACATTATGCGACTGTATAATGTAACACTGGAATTGTGCCCGATATATGGCAATAGGCTCACCCCCTATTACATGGGACTTATAACATAAATAGTGAAAATTGGGTGCATTGTATAGTGGCATGACTGCCTCGTTGGCCGAGTGGTCGCAAGTGCGATTGCCGGGCAAGGGGTCTCGGGTTCGATTCCCGGGTCGGGCAAAGTATTACTGGGTTTTTACAAAATTCTCAGTAGTAGCACGGAGTCTGGAATTGTGCCCGGTATATGGCAATAGGCTCACCCCCTATTACATGGGACTCATAACATAAATAGTGAAAAGTGGGTGTTACATTGTACAGTGGCATAATGTGCACCTCTGCCTACCTCTTCGGGGATAAAAGGCGTGATGTTATGTTATGTATAGTGGCATTAAGTGCCGTAATGTTGTACACCTCTGCCTACCCCTTCGCGGATAAAAGGCGTGATGTGATGTGATGTTATGTTAAAACAATATCTAAAATTTACTACCTATTTCTATTAATTATTAAGTAGGTACTAGTTCTTCAGTACAAAGTCAACATGATATGCAATAACTTCCCTCAAAACTGCATTACATCTCTATATTCATTTGAAATGAAACTCATGACGTTACATAATATTCCTTTGTTCTAACATTGTATAACTCACTCGAGAGATGAAAGCTCACATCCTGATGTCATATTCTAGTAGTTGCATCTGGATTAGGAGACAATGTAATGTAGTTTAAAATCATTGAAATTCAACAGCACTTTGTTAGGCTTTTAACGCCATATCCTTTGTTTTGATCACGGGAGAAATCTTTCAAAAGGCGCCTAGCTTTATTGAGGATAGAAAACTAGGGAGTGTGGGATTCTTACCTAACTAAAACCACCCCGGTGGCCACCATCACCACCTATGGTCGACACCGAGTCCTCTATAATTATAATTAATGCCATATCCTAAAAAACACAAAAAAATCGATGCTATTTTTTAAGAAAGTATGTATTAAAGTAGATATATAAAATTTTTTTCTTTACAGAGCCAGCAAGAATCTGCAGGAACGGGCGGCAGCGCTGGAGCAGGTAACTATTTTTCAAAATAATCAAAAACGTTACTTAAAAACTATAATATTAAGTTTCACAGGAAGTGGTTGCATACGTTACAATACTCTTCTTAAGACAGATTTTTTTAAGGTGGGAAAATCATCGATCTATTTCTCCCGCCTGGGTGAGGTGGAAGGGACTAGTTCTATACAGATAAAATTTAAAGGCTCGAAAAGATAAGGAGGTGGCCAACATTCACCTTTTATCTCGACTAGCAGAAAAAAGTTTGAATTTATTGTGTTTTTCCACAGGATTTGGAGTAGGCGCTAGTGCTAACATGGGGGCTAATGCTGGAGGTAATTTTCCCTTTAATTTTTTACAAGATAGAGCCCAAACAAACTGTCATCCGTTGATTAGATCAGGAATTGGGAGACGGGTGTACATCGCCCATGGGCACCCAGGACACCAGAGGAGTAATAAGTACATTGCCAGCCTTTTCACCAGACCCGAAACAAAAATTAGTGGATCAAACAAAGAGTTGCTCCATGCTGGAATCGAACCCGCTAAACGTTGCGCGGCAGCCGGTTGCCATAGCCACCGCACCGTGCAGTCAATTTACACTATTTATTTCATGAAACTCTGAATATTATCTGCCTGTCCCTATGGAACAAAAATCTGAGCTTAAATATGTAAGTAATTTTAATCTAATCAGCAGGATCAGCAGGCAATGCTAGTGGTGGCGCTGGCGCTAGCGGAGGTGCAGGCTTCAATGCTGGGTTCGGAGCCAACGCAGGCGCAGGTGGACAAGGACAAGGCAGTGGAAAGTGAACTATAAATGTGAATTACTACGATAATGTTACTTTTACGTAAAAGTATACGCTTTTATTAAACGCACTGATTTCTGTTTGTTTAAGATTTTGTTTTTTATTTACGGCGTTTCACTTAAGTTAGTGTCTTATACCAGTCACTAATTGTTTAAAAACAACAGTCACAAATTTAAATATCAAATAAGACATTTGTTTAATATTTACCGGAGTGATACCACGGCTTCACAGAAAACCGACGTGAAGCAACGCTTGCGTTGTTTCGTCGTGTGAGTGAGGTTACCGGAGGCAATTACCCTCCCCTTCCCCAATCTCCCCAATCCCTGAATCCCCAACGATCCTCAAACTACTAATCCCCAAAAGGGATCCTCGTCATTTACTTTAAACTAAAAAACTGCAAAACGTATGCGACTATCACCAGTCGAAAGTTCATAAATAATTTTATTTTTCTTACCTTTACTCATGTTAATGTTAATGCATGAAAAGATTGACGACTGTTGATAAAGCGAAAGAGGTATGTAGGAATCGTAGCAATTGGCGTTCCATGGCCTCTGTCTACCCCCACGGGAGACAGGCGTGTAGTAATGTATGTGTGTATGTACTTAATTTTTCTCAAACTCACCATTTAAACACAACATTTAAATATCAAACCCAGATGGCATTACTAACTGCAATTTCAAATATGGATCCTTGTAAATCACAGTTCTATACAAAGTAGATAGATAATAAACTCCCTTGACCTCTGATCTCGTTACTATTACTACAATACCGATATGATTCATGATACGTAATGACAATAGAGGTGAATGACCTCGTGCGTGACGTAATTTCTATAAATGTACCATAGAGAGAAAAATAAAATAGTTATGATTAGCTGTGAACAGATTGTGAGTTTAAGTAGAACTGATAAGTATGTGTGAGTAATCAGCCTCAAAGCGTTAGTGCCTTAGAATGGGCCTTAATTCTTTTAGCCAGTGTCAGTGCCGTAGGATGGATACGTTTTTATAATAACTATCGTGAGACATACTAAATTAACTAAAATCGAGGGTTACTCACGTGAATATTCTAAGAAAAGTTCTAGTTTCGAACCATAGAGAGGTTCTTCCTCATGAGCAGCGTGCACGGTCGCGGCAATGTGAGAGTGAGCTGAGCGACATATAACCCGCGGTTAGTTAATGGACCACATTTCTTTTTACGAGATTTTGAGATTTATGCCATTTATGGCACTTACAGATTAGAATTAACTTATGCCAGCATTTTGCTGATAACAGGAAATGCAATATGCGTTTATTGTATTGTTTTTCGATCATTCATCGTAGCTATTAACAGAAAAGTAATAATTTGTAAAGAGCAGTAATCGGAAAAATTATGACCAACCTTTAACTTTTAGCATTCTAGAATAATACACTTCACGTTTCCATTCTTCTAGCCTAAAGTCTTCACCACATATATCATTTCACATACACAAATATAGTCACAGACACATTAAAAAAAAGTGCGAAATCTTTAATAATTAAAGCACAAATACAAAACGATTTATTTCGTAAATAATCGTAATATTATTTACTGCTATTTTCACTACAAAAACACGTATTTACACTACACTAAATCACAACTTCAACAGTACAGACGTTTACACATATTAAGAAATACATTAACACTCCTCTGTAAAAATCTAGTCTATTCAAATAACAAATAATCGAGTCCACTATCGGTATCAAAGTGCACGTTACACACAGGAGGACATTTCAATAAAAACTTCGCCAATTGAGTTCCTCCACTCGCAACAATCACGGCGATCACGTGGCCACGTGGCCTGTTGCCTATGTACTGGACTATCTAGGTATATGGCTATGTATTTAACGTATCTCTGTTTTGTTCTAAGATCAGTTTTAGGTATTTCTTTATAGATTTTCTTTCGTATGGTATCCGTGCTTTTTTTATATATTTGACTAGCGTCCCTCTCCGGCTTCGGACGGGTCCAATATGCTTGAACTAGACATATAAACCTTCCTTAAGAATCACTCTATCTATTAAAAGAAACCGCATCAAAATTCGTTGCGTAGTTTTAAAGATCTAAGTATACATAGGGACAGACAGACAGCAGATAACGACTTTGTTGTATACTATGTAGTGGGACGACGTTTGACCACAATCTCGCCTGGTGGTAAGCAATGATGCGGTCTACGATGGAGTACGTCGACGTCAACCCATAAGCAACCTATTCACTCGGGCCTTGAAGACATCTCAGTTACTTTATATTTGGATGAAAGTCAGTATTTCATTTCAAGTCCTGGCACTCAGGCACTCAGCAATGAGTAATGACCTAATTTTGAGCACGAAGACAGCTTCAGATCCTTAAGTATGGCTGTCCTATCCCTCACTCGCAACAAGGGGTCAGAAAAAATTAGCTAAGTTTAGCACTTAGCAACTGTTAAGTGTCTTGAATGACTGGCGTCATTTTTTTAAGGGGGGAAAGTCATCGAATGTCTTCTCCCACCTGGGAGAGGCGAGAGAGAATGTCAGACTCTTACTGACTACAAACCAACACGTTCTTACTCCTGGCCTTCAAGCCGGAGCCCTGGTAAGCCGTTAAGTCGTCCGCAGCTATAGGACATAGGACAGTAAGTAGGATAGTAGGGTAAGTAACAAAAAAAAACACATAGTCATTATATTGTCACTTTATACTGTCAAATACCAAGCGGTCACCGGTGACCGCAACCTATTGTTCTATAATTGTGTCTGCAAAACCGGTACTCGACGAGTTAAGACACCTGACTGTAAATGGTTGTGGTAGCACTGCTGTCGTGCTGACCCATTGGGGCCAAGCATGGGTCTATCACATAACATAACATCAAAGCGGTCACCGGTGACCGCAACCTATTGTTCTATAATTGTGTCTGCAAAACCGGTACTCGACGAGTTAAGACACCTTCACTTCACCTCCTAAAACTCTCAAGTACTTTCAACACTCCCAAGTTAGGAGGTCCTTATAGCTCAGCTCACGACAAATGCTTCCTATCTTTTACTACCCTATCCACGACGGTTTACAGCAAATAAACGTGATAAGACAATGTACTAAAATCTAGACAAGTCCCGACTCCATTTTGTTTTTATTAAATGTCTCCGTCTGTGATGGAATTGAAGACTTTAGCTGTTGGTATTGAGTTGGTATTTGATTGAATTTTGTTCAACTGCAGTGAAGTAATATATTGTTGATAGTATGCGATGATTTTGTCGATTAAGGTCATAGATTTTCAGTACAGTAGTTACCTATGGAGAATCTTAACAAAATGTCTGGCACCCTACGACTTTTGATTAACTACGTTATTATTTTAAAATGTTTTAATAATGAAGTGTTTAACGATAGGCTAGGTTTTCAAACGGAAGGCACGGGGCAAGATTAGGAAAAGCGCGAGAACTGTGTAATCAATTTTAATTCACATTAAGTATTTTGTCAACTAATATTTTGATAGGTTCATACCTGCACATCACTTCAAGCCCGAATCACACCTTTCAATGCTCAGCACAACTAAAACTATGCTTTAATCTAAGACTATAAGGTAATATAAGGAAGTAGAAAGTTCAAGTAATACCATTCTCCAGATGGAAGCTCATTGGAGAACAAATTAGGTTGAACCCAGTAGGGTCAGATAGTAAAATCATTTAGATAATCGCGCACTCCTGTACAGATAACCTCTCGTCCTACTATTGATTGTGGGTGATTTACTATTTTTGCCTCTGAGTATTAATGAGACAAGCCTCAAGATCGTAAGAGAATAGTTTATGGAAAAGCGTTCTAAAAATCGTCATGTCATTATCAGGATAATTTAAAGCGTCCACTATCTCAATGATAACTAGAGCCGGTTCAAGACGACTAAAACTGTTCTAAAAGACAGAAGATAATCTTGATCCAAATGATGTTAATAATGGTCCATCGGCTGTAGACTCAGCAAGCGTTACATAACCACGGTTATGACATACTGTATTTCAAAAAAAAACAGAAAGTTTAAGAATCATACGAAAAGCTACCAGTGTACATATCCACAATTTGGACCTCCATTCAAAACAATATACGTATGTAAGTAACTAAGCATTATAGCTTGTCTGATTACTACTCTTGCCACAGAGTGGTCAGTAAATCAAGATACGGTGTGTTATTGTTTTCTATTGAATCTCATCAATTAGTTTTGTTTGTTATCTTAATGCTTTATGTGGAGCTCGGCCAGGCAGGCGGGGAGATAACATTTCTGTTAGTGTGTTTACTGAAGATATTTTGTAAGAAAGTTCTCTTTGAATGTAACGTATTTAACCTATGTGTGTGTCGCGGAGAACTTAACGGGTAACCGGGGCCCCGGCTCGACGTGCAGGAGAAGGAACGGTGTGGTTTTTAGTCAGTAAGAGTCTGACACTCCCTCCCGCCTCACCCAGGCGGGAGCAGTCATTAGATGATTTTCCCCCTTAAAAAAAAAACCTATGTGTGTGTGTATAGACTAATCCATCCTATCCTTTTGGTTCTACCACCTATCTGGTTTATTTTGGTTCTATCCTGGTTCTACCACCAGCCAACAATGTTTTTTTTTATGGAATAGAAAGCAAACGAGCAGACGGATCACCTGATCGTAAGCGATCAGCGCCGCCCATGGACGGACAGCCGCAACACCAGAGGAGCCACAGGTACGTTGCCGGCCTTTTAAAAAGGAATACTCTTGAAGGTTTGAAGGTCGCATCGGTTCGGAAATACCGCTGACGACAGATCATTCCACAGTTTTGTTGTACAAGTCAGAAAGCTACGCGATCTTCTTACTTATAATCGAAAATTTAAAGACTTTCAACACCCAATAACTTTTTATCTTCCCAGGAATCAGACTAATCATACTCTGAACCGCATACGGTTCAGAGTATGTCATAACTTAAGAGGTCAGAAAATTCACGCGAAGGACTTAGTGAAGAACTACTGGATCCGGAAAAGCATACTAAGTGTGGGAGAGCCCATGCTTCGGTACGAACGGACCGACTTGACCCGAGTGATAACCACGGCCTCACAGAAATCTAACGTGAAGCGACTTGTGCTGTGTTT